AAGTTTTTTCTGTTTGTGAATGTTTTGCCTGCATGTATGTAAGTACACCACATGTGTCTAATAGCCATGGAGGCCAGAAGAGTGTGTCAGTCAGACCCCTGGAACTGGAGTTATGGTTGGTTGTTAGCCACTATCAGGGTGCCGGGAACTGAACACAGGTCCTCTGCAAGAGTAGTCAGTGTTCTAAACCACTGAGCCATCTCTCATTCCTATTTCTTTTCATATAGCTGTCCAGGTATCTCAGCATCCCTTGCTGAAGAGACTTGTTCCTCCATTGCTCTGGCTGCCTGTCCATTGGCCATCTCGGCACCTTTTCTTTCACTGGTCTCTGCCTCATCCAGGAGTTCTTTAGGACCTTTATGGAATGTTTTCAGAGCTCCTCCTAACTAGGATTTTCCAGAACTTTCTAGTTCCCGAGCTCCCCCCCCCCCACCCCGGCCCATCTTGATCCTGTGACCATTTCCTGGGAGCTTATTCTGACAACTTACTCCCCCTGGTTGCTACCCCTCCCACAACCATGACTGTGTCTGAGACCAGAGGCAGAAGAACAGGAGAGAAGGGCACCAGTGTCCTCTGGTCAAGGAGGAAGGGTCTGTGTTGGATCTGAGGTTTCCGTGGTCCTGTGACACAGTCCCTTGTGGATATTGGAAACCCTTCTTGTTACCTGCAACAGGAGATGCCCTTTATGGATGCTCCAAACCCTTCTCACAGAGCTAGGGTCCTGCCTGGTATATCCCCCCCACCCCTGAACCCCCATCCTGCCCACTCTCCTGCCTACAGAAAGTAACTAAAAAAGAACTTCATACTGACAAACCCAGTGCAGGCTGAACTAAGGAAGACTGACTGAAGAGGCAGGGCCAAGGGAAGGGCGGGGGTGGTGAGCAGTGGAAGTGAGGAAGGGAGTTGGGGGCAGAAGGGCAGCACAGGGAAGGGGAGTAACAAGTGGCAGCTCCCTTCTAGGTAGCCAAGTATCTGTTTGGTCAGCTGCTGAGCCCATGACCTTGGCCTTCAAGGCTGACTGGAGCCAGCCCATCTTTATCTAGTTTCATGAGTTTTTTGAAGTATAAAATGCCTCCCTCAATGATTGACATTTTCAAGGGTGCCCTTGTGTCTGAAGTCACAAAGAGCAGAAGATCCCTCCCAGGTGAGGACCTGAAGCTCAGCAGACCCCACACTCCTCCCGATGTCTCCTGAAGGCACACCGGCTCCCCTCATGTCACTCCCCCTGCATTGCACTGATATCCCTGGCGTGACCAAGGTGGTGGCCAAACCTGCTTAGGGACCCTGGGCATCATTTTGGCCTCCCTTTGTCCTCTTGTAGGGCAATCCTCCTGCAAGATCATCATTGTTCTAGGCTGAGTTCAGCCTTCCAGCCACCTTTCCTGGGGTCATTATCCATGGCAGTTCCCCTGACTCTCCATTGGCTTGTCCCCATCAGGCAGTGTAGACCTGGCAGAATAGAAAGACCTCCCCAGATATGGCCCTGCACAGAATAGCGGGTGTATGAGGGGCCCCCTCTCCCATGCTGAAGGAGAGAGACAAACCATGTAATGTACCTGTCTCCTTAGGGGCCAGAGCTCTACAGCTCTGCTGGAGTAGCCGTCAAAGAAGAGGGAGGATCAGGAGGTTCCTAGAAGAGAGACCCTAACTCTGAGTCTTGTAGGCCAGGGTGCTGGAGAGGCAAGTAGAGCAGGAATGAATGAAGGGTGAGCAAGGCATAGTGGGAGGGTTTCAGCCTGGCTGGTCAGGTCTCTGCTGGGAGAGGCAGTGGGCAGCCTACTTCTCAGGCCACCTGTGCCCTGGTGAGGGGAGGGAAACCAGGCTCCCAGGGCAGCAACATGAGATGCAGGGCCCCTTCACAGGGTTTGCATTTCCTTCTACACACCAAAGATTTATTTGGCAAACATGATGGAATTGTACTTGTCAAGGTTTCGAACGAAAGCGGAGCAGCACCTGAAACCTTGTGCATTCTGACATGTTGCCACAAGCAGCTGTTTGAAGGCCGCTGTACCTGCCTTGTTCATGGATGTCCTGGTGGTTTGCTACAGACCAAGGGGCGCCTGGCTCTACAGGTGGCTGAGAGCAATGTGGATGCCTCCAGCTAGGCAGGCCCCAGCGTGGGGCTCAGCAGGACCTGACCTGGGCATGATTTCTGGTGGCTGCTGAGGCAGGAAGAAGGGCTCCCATGTTCTACTCATGTGACACCTTCATCTTCAACTGTCATAATGATCTAGAACACTTCCTTTTTCTGCTCACGAGGTTGTGACCTGCAAAGGCACATGGTCCACTGGGGGCAGAGGAGGCTTGGCATGACAGTGTTACCCTTGAGACCCAGTCTATCCTGAGCTGTGCTGGTCTAGAGCAGGGATTTTCTGCAGGTGTGGCAGGTTGGCTTGAAAGAGCCACATCGGAATGGTCCCATGTTTCCTCTTGGGAGATCAGAGCTGAGAAGCCATGTGGGTGGAGAGGTCAGCTGGGCTAAGTGATCAGTCCTGGGCCATCTTTGCCTGCAAGCAATGAGGAGGCAGCTAGGAGGCACATACTGGCTGGTCCCCAAACTCGTGTGAACCTGCGATTGGCCATGGGAAGCTTGGGTGTGGACTCTGGGACAGGGGATGCAAGT